AGGCCTTTGAGAGAGGCCTCAAGAAGGAGGCAGCGCTGAGCGGGTTTGTTTTCTTAAATGACAGGGGTTTGCCGCCTGTAACGTTGCTGTAGGGTGGGTAGAAAACGTGGTTTGCTTTCCCCACGCAGGTGGGTTAGAATAAGTGCTTCTTTTGAAGGAAAAGAATAAAAGTGTAACTTCACTCGGTGTAGGGTTGAAGGCAGTTGGATTTTGTGTGTGCATCTTTTTGTCGAAGATTCCGCCTACTTCTGGCTTTTTTAAGTATGTGGGGTTTTTCTTTCCGTATTTATAAGCTTTACTGGAACACTGCCAGCGCTCCAGGATGTTTTTCTTGTTCTTTTTTTGGGGGGGGAGGGGGGGTTGTGGGGTTTTTTTCCTCCTCCCCATTCTTATTTACTGAATTGATATGTGTCTGTAGGGGATTAATTTTCAGTTTTTACTCAGCCGAGGAACTGGGCTCTTATGTATCGAGTAGCTCTGTAAAGATCACTCAGCTTTTTGTTTAGAACTTCAGATGCAGTGTGCACTTAGTGCAAAGTAATGCAGTGATTTGTAGTGATACCTGCTAGTTCATCAGACTGACTTTTGATTATTTTTCCATGTGATCTCATTTTAGAGGAGTGGAAGCTAAACAGCCCAACTCTGCTATCAGGAAATGTGTCAGAGTCCAGCTGATTAAGAACGGCAAGAAAATAACAGCTTTCGTTCCCAACGATGGCTGCCTGAACTTCATTGAGGTAACTTTCAAAAACAGATGATAGAAAGTTGGGTAGCAAAGTAAAGAAACACATTGTTGATGGATTTAATGGATGGTGAGACTAGGATTCATGTCATTGTGCAGCACATGTGTCTCAAAGCTTCAGTGCCAGAGGCAGATGAAAATTATAAGATGTTTTTGTACTTTTTTTAATTTTCCCTTCTCACAGCCAGTTTCCCAGCAGTGCTGCTGCAACCTGAAGGACATCTCTGCTCATGTTTCATTTCTCCAGACCCTGAAGGGGATAAGGGTCCTTGTTAATGTGTGTCAATCACCTGCCCTGTTCCTACCTTTTCTTTAAACTTGAGCCACACCCTGGACTTGCTAATGTTGCCCATTTCAGCGTTTGTGGAGGTTTAATGCTCACAACTTTGTAACCACCTGGTGTTCCCTTGCAGGAGAACGATGAAGTCCTGGTGGCTGGTTTCGGTCGGAAGGGTCATGCTGTTGGTGACATCCCTGGAGTTCGCTTCAAGGTTGTCAAAGTAGCCAATGTCTCTCTGCTGGCTTTGTACAAGGGCAAGAAGGAGAGACCAAGATCATAAATTTAGGACAATTTCCCAACACAGTCAATAAAATCTCGGATTGGAAAGAAATTCTGTGTCTGTTCTTTAAGGCTTATGATGTTTTGATGTGTGTCTGCAAGTGATACAGCTCAGGGACACTGGGGCGTGCTGTCTTTTTTGTTGGCAGCTGGCTTGTCCTTCTTTAAGAACTGCTTTGCTCTTGAATGACAGGAAAGCCAGAGCAGAGTCACACACTTTCCAAACAGAATTGTGTTTCTTGGAGTAGGACAGCTCTTCTGGGAATGTCAGAGATTGATGCCACAGAAGCTGTTTGAGTGCTTTGTGGACCAGCCCCCCTTGCCCAGTGCCTTCATGGAGGCTTCTTTAACTAGAGTAGTGACTGTCCTGCAGTCAGGATGGACTGATGGATCTGAGAAGGCCTGTCCCCCCCTCTCAGACCCTTCTTCCTGAACTGAAGGGTTTGAAGCTTGGGTCCAAGCCTGACATCTATAAGCTAGTTAGGGCTCTGACCTAAGGCTGTGTTGGAAGAAGGGAGAGGTCTCCAGGGCTTCCTCTCATAGTGAAAAGAAGGCTGGAGTGCTGCAAGAGCATGGAAAAGGAGAACCCTGTCACTGTGGCAGACTTGGTGCACCACAAGTGAAAGTGGAGTCATGACCTGTTGTGCCATAGCTCCAACCATCCTCCAGGCTGCATCATCTCTAGTCAGTGTATCCTTAGGGATGGCTTCTGCAGTGGAAGGACAGTCGGAATGGTCTCTGACACATCTTGCAATACAGTTGTTCCCTTGTTTTCCTCTTGTCAAATCTTGTCTAGAGTGGGAATTTCCTACTGGATGTTAATTGAGCACTTAAAAATGGAATGTTAACTTAGGATGGAAAGATTTAAGTTGGGCAGCAAGAGTAGACCTTGTCTGTCTGTCAGATCTGGTGCGACCTTGTGCTAGTAATTCAGATCTATTTTTTTTTAAGAAAGAGTATTCCATTTTTATAAAATACTACTGTACTCTATATACAAGGAAAGATTAACAGCATTTCAGAAACACAGGACCCTTTTAACCCTGAAGTTCAACTGTCACCTGAAGGTGGCTGGTTGCTGGGGTGGGTTGGTTTTTTTCAGTCTGAAATGCATTGCTCCCTTAGTGGCTGTGTATAGATACTGCTCAGGAGGTGTTTGCATTAAATGTAATAAATTCTGCACAACCCAGAACTGAATTACATTTAATCTTTTTAGGAAGAATAGACCACTGCCTAGTGTAGCTGGAATTTCATCTTCAGTTGTTATGTCAGTCATAAAGCTTCTCCCGTAAGAAGTGAAATTAAATTCCTTACTGCTAGCTCTGGCCAAAAAGAACCTGATGTTTCTTTGGGACTATAAAATCCACAAGGAATCAAAATCTCCACTCAAGCAAGTTGGGAGGAGAAATTGCATATTTTAGAAAAAAAACCCTTCCTCAAACTGAAAATGTTAACTGTAAATGTTGAAAATTGTATTTATCCACGGTCTTCAGATGATGAGAGCAGTTCTAGTTTCTCGACTGAAGACAGGCAGTTATAAGTGGATTATTTTTGGCATTATTTTTAGCACCTGACATGATCAGGTTCAGGTCTGGAAGGGATTATTAAACTATTTTTTTAATGTAATCATCATCTCTGTCCTGCTCAGCCCGTAGAACTTACCCCAGTTGTTCTCAGGTTTAAGTGTAAATTAGGTCTGACTAGTTGGACTTGGGCAAGTCTGTCTGATTTGAAGATGTCTGTTTCTTTTAGTGAGTTCAGCTGTTTTCATTTTAACTTCTGTTACTACTTGTCTCTTTTACTAGGCTTTTTGGCCTTCTTGGCTAGATTAAGAAAACTTCCATTGAAAAACTGAAATATTTCATCAGTTCACATTTTCGATCTTTTTTCTCTCCATATTTTCCAGTTTTTCAACATCACTTTAGAATGTGGATACTAGAACTAACAGTTATAGAACATCATCTAAAAAGCCAACACATCCCCCTGTATCAGCCTTTATTTAAATAATTGCCAGATCTTCCATTCTATTAGTATTTGCACTGATATATTTTACCTTGAATTGGGCCCCTTGTGAAAGTGTATTTTGCACAAAGCTTACTAGTGGATCACTGGGTTCTTTGTTTCATGTTAGAGCTATTTTATGCAATAAAACCTCAAAATACTTACTTGGCTGAAGCTAAACAATTCCCTCATTTTAATAGCAATTAATTTGTGTGTTCATCCAAAAGGCTCTGCTTCAATTAGTATTTATTAATTTATATTAAAATGGCATCATATATAAGAACAGATTGGGAATCTCTACTACTGAGTATTTTGTAGTTTAGTCATCTGCAAATCTGTGAGATTTGGATTCAAATCCTTGTTCAGGCCTGGGCTGAACTTGGGTTTCCCTTACCCTTGCAGATGCAGTAGCCCCAGTCACAAGAAAATGGGCTTTCTCTGCAGCCCCTCCCCTGTATTATGGGAGGAACTCTGGAAAAGCTGCAGGCTGTGATTCCAGAAGGAAGACTCCTTCTGTTGGAACCAAACTTAAATACCCCCTCAGATTTTTAGAGCCTTAACTGATGTGCAGTTCAGTCAATGAGCAGGTTGGAGTGGAGGTGAAGAGGCTGCCTGGGCCAGGCCACCAGCCAGCCCCACAGCTCCTTGGGCTACCAAGTATCACCATATTTTTACTGTGCTTTCTGGTTTCCCAGCCATCCTGTTTTATTGGATACCAAAGGGTTAACTGGTAGTAGTTGGTTGGTTTTTTCTTTCACACAACCATATGCACGTTCTGGATCTGTTCTCTTTTCCCAAAATGTTACACGGATGGATTTTGAGGATCTGCATCTGCCCAGGATTTCTTACAGCTTCACGGAATCAAAGCTGTTGATGCACATAACTTCAGTCATGCCACTGTACACCCAGAAATCTCAAGAGATGTCCTGATCACATCTGCTGTGGCTCTGTCTACAGCTCTGTGAAACCTGGAGTACACACGCAGTCATGGGGAGTAGCACACAGCAGAGATGCACACATGTTCCTACCAAGTCTCTGAAACCAAGCCTTGATTTAGGAGCAGAACAAAGCAGAACAAAGCAGGTCTGAGAGCACTGGCTGCCATCAGTACAGTTAAATGTACTAATTCTATGCATCAAACCAACGGCAGGTACGTATCTGAGAGACACCAGGTACACATTTATATGCAAAAAAGCTAGAATCCCAATAATTGTTCTCAGGTGATCCTTGATTACAGTAAGACAGGAAGCTACAGGATAAGTGAACCTGAACACTGGGCTGTGACTCCCAGCTTGCAGACCTGAAAGCAGTTCCTGGTGGAAGAGACCAACTACAGTCAGCTCATTTCTTCCCAAAATCATGGTCTTATGTATGTAGGTGTTACCCTACCCAGCTGCTGCTGTTTGGAGTCCAGCTTAGTGTCTACAGGAGATACATTACTTGAAGGAAGGAAACCAGCACCTTTGGTTTGGTTGCTACAGCAGAGTCTGTTTCGCTTTGTTGTTTTGATTTGCTTTTCTTGTGTAGCAAAATCATTAGCAGGGATGTCAGTGATAGTCCTTTGAAAAGAGGGACTTCACCGCAGCCAATGGACTTTTTAAGTCCTTGCAGTTCAGAGTCTTGGCAAATTCTAAAGCCCATCTGGCAGGAGAGGAGACGGTAGATTTATCGGGAGGTAAATGAAGCAAAGATTCAGCTTCCTAAAGTAGGACGTTGTAATGAGGGAATCTTGCCACTAGATGTTGCTATCAGCACAATGAGGGGAAAACCTGAAACGTGAAAGGTGTGAGCCAAAAAGTTGTTTACGTGGAATTTAACAAAGGAAATCTTCAAAATGTGAAATTTAGCCTTTAACTGATTCAGTGAGCTCCCATCAGGAAAATGGGGCACTTACTGTATTGTTGCCTTTGAGTACATTAAATGGTGGCTAGATGCTACTTAGCAGCACAAGAGCTTATGGAGTAAATTCACCTGCAATCTTGTCAGATCAAAAACAGGGAAGAGAAGAACAAAGGTGCTTATTACTCCATGAAGCATGCGTACATTTTACAGCTTTGGTTGCATGAGGGGCTTGTTTTGTGTAGGCTTTTTTCAACTTCTTGCAAGAAGGTAGAAGAGGTGAGACTTATTATGGCAAAGGGTTAATAACAATTACCAGAACACACAGAGCTGAGAGCAGAACAAGTAAAGAACAACATTAAAGCTAGCTGCACATTTTGCATTGCTTGTTATTATTTGTTTTACATGCCTGTTTAGCATGTAACACCTAGTCAACACTTGGGCACCAGGATTCTTCTAGCCAATGTCCCTGTGGATCCTCTCAGTGCCCAGGAATAACTTGGAATAACAAGGAATAACTTGTGTGATCTGTACAATGTAGAAAGAAGTCAAAGGAAAATGAGCCAAGGCAAAACTCACTACTAGGTGATGAGGGGTTTTAGGCCTAATAAAGAAGCACTGAAATTATGTGCTACACAATCCAAATCCTCTGTAATGGAAGGCAATCAACAGACATCAGAGAAGAGCTGAACTCGTGCAATAGATACATTTTTCTAATTCATTAGGAAAGCATATGTAAATACTGGAAGACTTGACTAATATTAAGGAACAATACCTGACTGATAGATGCAGGAGAATGAACTTTACAAACTCTGGAGAAGCAAGCGATGCTTAACAGAGTGAGGCGTGGCTGGAATCCACCAAAATTCAGTTCAGGATTTTGATCTGGATCAGGTGCAAAGGAAAGAAGGATTAGTTCATTTCCACAGCTTGCCAAATCTTTTTCCATCTATGTTCAGCCCGTGTTCTCCCCTACTGTGGGCTCTACCTGTCCCTGGAACTTGAGTGGCATCAACTGCAGTGCTTGCTCAGCAGAAACAAAAATCATTACGACCAGCTTCTGTGTTTTAAGGTGATGTATTGCAGAAGAGACATCGGGGATTGCTCCTGGTGATGCAGATGACTGCTGGTGAAATCTCATTACTGTGATTCTTCTCTAACTATAGCCTAACTCTGGGCAGCAACAAAGGTGGGGAAAGGAAGCACCTGAA